ACACCTCATACGTCGATCAAACGTGCAGACGTACAAGTTACGTACAAGGATATTTGAGCATCGCAGTCATATTAGATGGAATACGACGAATCATTCCGTTTTAACCGATCATAGATTAGAATTTAATCACGATTTTGATTGAGATGGAGTCGAAATTCTGGATAGTGAATCTTTGTTTAAAAAGCGCTTAATTTCTGAAATGGTATACATTAAAAGGCAACAAAATAGCCTTAATTTATAGACAGACGAAATGTTTATATTATGCTTATCCGGATGTGATCGATAAGTTACCAAAACTTTGAAAGTCATGCCGTCTTATTTGTAAACACTCCTCTGTATTCATATTTACTTTATGTATCGCGCGATATGAAGAGACTTAACATTCTGTCTCGAACATCCGTGTGTAACATTTGCCTTCTGTACAACATGGGTGACTCACTCAAGTTCGGTATAATTGTATTTATTGGCAGTTATTTTTTAATGTAGTATATTTTATCGGATAGTTTCTTCAGTCTCGAAATTACATTATATAACATTTACCATCTGACAACTGACAAGATGGGTGACTCACTCTTGTTCTGCGTATTATTACTGTTACATTTTTGATATAATATTTTCCATATACTTTGTAATTGCGCTGAGGATGGTCCAAAAAAGGGACCGAAACGTACGCTTTTTGTGATTTTGTCTATCACGTAGTCAAAATATCAATGTAATTTGATTGTAATAAAACATATGTGCACAAATTACAGCACTGGCTCTTGATTGCCTTTTATCTCCTTCATATGATATATTCATAAGAGCCTTTATTACCCAGATAGCAAAATGCTAGCAGCATACGCGCAGATTGGCAGCAAATTTAATCAAAATTCCATGCCAAAACCATAGCCATCTGTGACCACATTAAAAGTGCAAGTAAGAAACTTAAAAGTAATATTTATTTTTATCAGTTTAATTTTTGATACAATTCTTATATGGAATTCAGAATATTATACCCAAATAACCAAGCGTGATTAATCATATTAAACAAACTAACGCACTGTATGTGTTATTATATATGCTTGTTGTACGTTTGCTAACATCGAAATAGGAACGTTATTGAATGCAGCAACATGAGAGCTTATACACGCAATCAGTTGACGAAATTTCAACAAACAATCAGCAATACGTTATGTTATCAGCAACATGACAATAACGGCTGTTCTTGTGAACGGGGCACCCCTTCGATTGGGATGAAACCTTGCAGATAGCTTCAAGAGATCATATTAAGGTCAACTGTCAAGGTCGTATATATGGGTTTTGAATAATTCAAAAGTTATAAATAAAAATATTACTGAAAACCGTAAAAATCGACAAAAAAAGATCAAGCTCCAATGATCTTGACCTTGACATAAGTTGTCAAGATCACTGTTCTGAGTAAGATCCAAAAGATTTTATCCGTCGCTCATTGTTTATTAAAAAGTTATGAACAAAAGAATTTTCACGATATATATGTAATTTATCCATTTATTTATGTGTAATAAATCGAACATGTGGGCGGAGGAGGAGCTCCGTTCCTTCCCCGCCCACACCCACCCCAAAAAAGTAACCTAATCTAATCCATTTCCTAGAGATAAAGAAATAAAAAAACACTTCAGTGCAAAACAAAGTCCATGTTTCTACAATTCAAAATGGGTTTGCAACTTTCCACGCAAAGCAAGGTCCACCCCCAAATAAAATTTTAATTGTTAATCAGAAATAGGTTTGGGTTAGATTATATCTTCCGAAAATGGAGTCCCTCCGTAGGGGGGTGGAACCTACTGCGTCCACGCATGTACTTTGCAAGACGAAATGTTTTACACTTTTTTATGAAACCTTTTTGGTTCATAGCTCTTTCATAAACAATGACTGAGAACTAAAATGTATTAAATGTTACTCAGGGAGATAATCTTGATAACATATGTCAAGGTCAAAGTTATTGGAGTTGGATTTTCTTTTGTCGATTTTTACAATTTTCAGTGATATTTTTGTTCATCATGTTTATTTGTTTGTCATCATGACGGCAACAACACAAATTACAATGATCCCCATTCATTGTCGCGCATATTACCTCAATTAATAAAGTTTTTCATGACTTGTTATCAACAAGGCATTAAAAATATGAAATTGTTATACGTTCATGACAAAGAGACAGCATATAGTTCTGAAGATCTAATATATTAAAGTTCGTTCGCTTACCGCTATGCGCCCACTATGCGCTATATATCCCATTTTCAAGTTTTTTTCATGAGAGTATATAAAGCCTATAAAAAGCACAGCTACTAACATAAAAAAATGTAATATATTTTTCTATCAGTATAATTTCTGATACAATTCCAATACAAAGGATTCTAGATCTTGAACTAATTGTTCGGAAATGGACATGTGAGTATCCAAATGAGTCGGTTTTGAAGCAATTTATGACAAAAGTGAATATTAACTTTTCTTCATAAAATCATCTAAGAAATTACTTCTTTAATTTTCGAAATTTATTTAAAGACTACTCTATATATTAAATTATTAGAAATACATTGCATCATAATATTGTTATAATGTTTCATTGCAATTTTTCTAAAGGCAAGCATTTTAAAATATTGCCACAATCTTACAGCAATGATATAGCAATGTTTCGCAATACATTTGCAATATTACAATGTTTCAGTGAAATTATTTTACAATATATTTACAACCTTTCTATGTTGTGTGCTGTGTGTGTGTGCGCGCGCATCGTATGTGTGTCCTTTTACAAAATTTACTGAATAAATACAATTCTATGGAAATTTGTTGAATATATAAATTTAATTTTTAATGAATTTTTCTTAAGTTTTATTAAAATTTTAATAATATCGCAATGAAAAAGGATCAATTTTGATTATGATTTCAGTATGTAATTTAGACACTATTTCAATACGATTTCAGTATAATTTCTGTAAAATATTTTTTTCCCATCAGGGTACAAATATTAAAAAAAATAGAGAGTACTTTTCATACGCTAAAAGTTGAACTATTCTCAAACCATTGAAACTCGGCGAAGAATCATCATAAACAACAAATTAAAAAAACAATTAAATATGAATACTGGCAGATAAGAGCCAAGGCCCGGGTATTGTTGCGCGAACTTGTTATTAAATTTTATTAACAAATGTGCATTAAGAATATACATTTCAGACCGTTTGGTCCATCTTCAGCATGGATATAAATATATAAAAATTTCATTCATTATATTGTAAACATGTAAACCATCGATATATGTTCAGTGATGGCGTTTGGACGTTGTCCACTAATTTGTACAGATTCTACGCAGATTTTAATGAGGCTTCCTTTCTGATTACAGTGTTCAACACCAAATTTGCCTTAAGTTCTACCAAATCATTTCTGATAGATTTTTTAGCGCTGATTGCGAATCTGGCTGTAAAAATGGCGTAGCACGTCAAGTTTTTGAGAAAACTTCAGTCAAAGTTGCTAAAATAGGCGTTTTTGATACTTTTGCGTAAATTGTATTTTCCGATGGGGACGTGCTACAGACGACAGCGACAGCTCAAAATAAAGCTCAAGACTTATACTTTATGATAAAAATACTAGAAGTCTTAGGCAGGAAAGATTTTTCTGAAAAAAAGTCGAAACATAAGAAATATCTATTGCAATGTTTTCCAGTCATACGTCTTCAATTGTCCATTACTAAATTTTTTTTTAGTAACAGAAGTAACAAAAAACTACTCTAATTTTGTTCTTAACTGATAGCGACCACAAAAATCTACACAAACTCATGATTTGAATGATTTTTCAAAAATTTGATCCGCCATTTTGGATTTTCCATTTTTAATTTTAAAATTTTAATACGTAATTCGTGATGAGTAATCAGGCAAATGTATACATACCGACTTTCATGATTAGAATAATTTTAGAAAATTTTAGTAACGGACAATTGGAGACGTATGACTGGGGGACACTGCGATAGATGTTTCTTATGTTTCGACCACTTTTTTTCAGGAAAACCTTTCCTGTCTGGGACTTCTGGCATTTTTATCATAAAGTATAAGTCTTGAGCTTTATTTTGAGCTGTCGCTGCCGTCTGTAGCACCTCTCCATTGAAAGATATAACTCACGCCAAAGTATTAAAAACGCCTATTTTAGCAACTTTGACTGAGGTTTTCTCACAAACTTGGCAGGGTACGCCATTTTTACAGCCAGATTCGTAATCAGCGCTAAAAAATCTACCATAAATGACTTGGTAGAACTTAAGGCAAAAAAAAAGTTCTTATTTTGTCGACCAGTGTTATTAATTTCAATTTGAAATTTGACTGCAACAACAAGTATTGCGCATATTAAGTTTTAAAATTCCAATTTAATTTTTGCAATATTATTTATATCTATACTGAAAATGGACCAAAAAACGGTCCGAAACGTTCATTTTTAATGCACATTTGTTAATAAAATTTAACAATAATAAGTTTGCGCACCAATATCCGCGCCTTGGCTCTTATCTGCCAATATTCCCACTTGATTGTTTGTGCTCTGAGCCTATTGCTGTTATTATTAAAAAACATTTTAAAGCTTAAAGTTTCAACGATATTAGGTGAAGAAATTAACAAATAAGAACCGAGGCATGGTTATTACCACCCAAACTTTTCGTTATTAAATTTCATTGACAAGTATGCATTAAATATGTACGTTTCGGACCATTTTTTGGTCCATCTTCAGCATAGATAACAAAATATAAAAATCAAATTCATATTCCAACTTTAAAATGCGTAATACTAGTTGCCGCAATCGAAAATCAAAATTGAAATCGATAGATAACATTCAAGAGTGACTCACCAAAACCCGAATAGAGTCTGTGCAAGCCGACAACGTCATCGCACTTATGTATCCGTCGGTGGTCCAAACCGCACTAACTGTATAGAAATAAAAAATAAAAAATTATTTAGAACTACCAATAGCGCGTTAAAGTTGAAACTTTAAACTTTGAAATGATTTTTAAATTTTTTTTTACGATGGTTTTTCGCTAAGTTTCAACGGTTTGAAAATAACCCTATTTTGAGCGTATGAGAAATGTTTCCTATTTTTTCAGTATATTTTAGTGTATATAAAAAAGATACGTTTACATAGAAAAAGTTCAAATTTCTGGGTATGCCGTTCCAACCAAATCTTTTCCTCTATATCTAAATTTGCGTGTTATTATATTAAATTTGGTGCCTCCCAGAGATACAGGGCAGCTTTCATCTGGTCGTGCATAGAAGCAAACAGTATAAAGTGACATTTCCAATTCGGGCGAAGTTCCGATGAACATTGTTGTGACTGGTTTATCGTGACCATTGAATTTTACATGCATCTTAATAATGGATCCCTTCTACAAAAAAAGGTACACTTATGTTTATATGATTTTCTTATATTAAAATCGCTGAATGTAGTATAAAGCAGTTCTATAAATTCTATTTATTTAAAAATTTATTCAAAAATTACTTACGTTTCCTAAATCGGTTTTTTTAATGTAACCTAGATAGTCGACACGGCTCTTTATTTCTTTTGCGTTAAAGTAGATCCAATTATGTAATCCAAGTATCTTTGTACCCGAATCTACTTGTCTTGTTTCCGCCATAAAGACGTGCTCAAATCCAGTGCTACCGGTTTTACCCTGTCCACGCGAGAATAAATTAAACCAAATTCTTCTTAATGTATCTTTATACTCATAATAATCCTGCCTCACAAATCCTTTATCTGCGAGAAAACGCATAGCAGTAGACATTACATTTGTACTCAGAAAAGTATCAACAAGGAGACTCTCTTCCTCTCTTTGTGATGGATTAATATATTCATTCGTATGAGTATCTAATTGATAATTATCGAATATGGAGAGAACCTTTTGAATCGTAGGAATCTGGAAAGCTTCAGGACTTATTGTCAACAGCCTGTAAAAATATACAGTTTGATCAATTAAAATATAATTGAAAAAAATATTGATATTTTATATCTAAAAATCCATATAACATGTACTGATCTGTTTCCAACATTTTTGTTATAAATAAATAAATATATTATATTATATTAAGAATATAATTCTTACGGCTGTGAAGCTTGATCCATCAGATTGCTACTGGTGGTTTGCTTTTGCAGATTAATTCTTATATATGAGTTTGCATTATTCGTTTCTTTTATATAAAGTGCTTCAGAAACTTTTTCCAAATCCTCATCAGTAACTATATTTCCTTTGCTATATATTGGATTACTGGAATATATCTTTCTAGTGGAATCTGTGGCTGATCTGGTGGTTACATCCGCAACAACATTAGCCGCTACAATAATAACAAAAATAGGGTCAGAATACTAATGATATTAAAAGTGAAGAAGCTAGCAAATAAGAGCTGAGGCGCAATAATTAGTGAGTAGACTTTTCTGTCGTTTAATATTAATAACAAATATGCATTAAATATATACCTTTCGGACCGTTTTTTGATCCATCTTCAGCATATATAAAAAAATATATATAAAAATTAAATTCGTATTTAAAACTTTACCAGCACAATATATTAATTGTTACAATCGCAATTAAAATTGAAATCGATAATCAAAGGGAAAGATTCACTAAAACCCGTAGTCTGTACAAATTACCCATACAGAAATTAATGTATCATATATTAGATATCTACGGGATGTTTTCAATGTGCATTAGGGATATCCATAAATATATAGGAAACATCTATTAGACATGCTTTAAATATCTAAATGTCCGCAATATGACATCTTATAAATATCCACAAGATATGTAGGCCAATATCTACAGGACATCCACATCAGTATTCAATGGATATTTATGTAGATATTCAGTGGATATTTATGTAGATATCCATTGTATGTTGGTTAAATTTTGGTCGCAAAATGACTAATTAAATGTTTTAAGTTAGGTTTTATAAGACCCGAATATGACGTCGATATGTCCCATTTACGGAATATCATTTTCTGACGTTTGTGTGATGGTAAAACTAAGATCAATTACAGTAATAATACATAATAAAACATATTAATGTAATATATATTATAGGTAAATTTATATAATTCAATTTATAAAATTAAAGATTTTATTTGTATGGAAGTTAATTTCTATTTTATATTTTCAATAAATAATGACGAACGATTTTCGCTTATTCGGACAAAAATTGTCCTAATAAGTGAAAATCGGATATTTATCTGATATTACGGTAAGATTATCGAAAATTAAATATTTTACGAGATATTTTATTTTTTATATCAAAATATGTCAAATTAACAAATATATAAAATAACTCAAAAAATACTTAATGAAAAAATACTTTATTATAGTGTTTTAAAAAGCTTTCGAGCTAAGAATACTAGAATATGTAATGGAAAATGGGTTTTTATTTAAGAAATTAAAGGTGACCTTCACGTGACTTTCAAACGATTATCCAAGATCAAACCAATGACACCTTCTTATGTCACCCTTCGAATTAAATAACTTCTATCCGAATTTTTTTTTAAATGCATGTTTTTCGAGATATTACGGTATGAAAATTAAAATGGGACACTCTGTATAATAATGAATAGATTAGCTTGCTTCTCACTGTCACTAATTGTTGATCCTTGAGATATTTTTGATGATTGCTTTTGTGATGAGTCTTTAGCTCCAATAAGATCTACAGCCAAATTTCTGTAACTTTGAGCATCTCCACGATCGATTCTTGACCTGTTTGATCTTGAAAAATCAATATCCGTGCCCAATTCCGTTCTTAGGTTAGATCGTATATTATTTTGTATATTCTTCCCAGTTTTGTCTACGCCATTGTCTAATCCCAAATTAGCAGCATCTATTATAGCGGCTCCAGTGTTTGCAACTGACACCGTTGGCCTTCTGACTGTTGTAGTATTTGATGGAACTGTAGTACTTTGTACATTTATAGAAACTGATGTAGTGCTCGTAGTAGTAGTAATCTCTTTATCTTTTTTCCAAAATTTCCATCCTGCTTCACTGTTTCCTAAACAGTAAATTAAAATTATTAGAATCTTAAAGTCGTGTGCGAGAAAAAACATGAGAAAAATTATACAGGGTGAGGAAAAAGTATGGAAACCCTGAAAAATTTCGAAAAATATAAGTTTTACAGAAAATTATTTCAAATAAAAGTTGTGGGATTTAAAAAGATTTATTTACTGATCTTATCAGTTTGGATTTGGATGGCGTCGCCAAGGTAAGGACAAAGTCACCTTGAATTTTTTAAATGGAAACCTCTATTTTTTATTACATATTCTTGTAGCCTTTGTCAAGACCTTTTCAAAACACTATGATAAAGTATTTTTGCATTAAGTATTTTTTGAGTTATTTTATATCTTAATCTGACATATTTTGATATAAAAAAATAAAATATCTCGTAAAATATTTAGTTTTCGATAATCTTACTTTATTACTTATAGAATAATGAGACAAATCAATTGATAAAAAAAAATTGTATTCAAGAAAAAGTATGTAATTATTTATAATGTATTTTTTTTAACAATTATTTGTTTCCTTTTACACTAATTTATTTGTCTCATTATTCTGTACCTAAAAGTATTACGGTAAGATTATCGAAAACTAAATATTTTACGAGATATTTTATTTTTTATATCAAAATATGTCAAATTAAGATATAAGATAACTCGAAAAATACTTAATGAAAAAATACTTTGTTATAGTGTTTTGAAAAGGTCTCGACAAAGGCTACAAGAATGTATAATAAAAAATAGGAGTTTCCATTTAATTCAAGGTGACCTTGTCCTGACCTTGGTGACGCCATCCAAACCCAAACTGATAAGATCAGTAAATAGATCTTTTTAAACCCCACAACTTTTATTCGAAACAATTTTTGGTAAACCTTATATTTTTCGAAATTTTTCAGGGTTTCCATACTTTTTCCTCACCCTGTATATGTATACAGGGTGTTTCATAATATGTAAGACGCACTTCAGGGGCAGATATAGGACTAAAAAACAATTTAAAAAGTTTATATAAACATATGTTCGGAATTGCTTCATTTACAAGGCCATGCTTCGTCTATGCAAGGACAATTGAAAATGCAGAAATTCTTCGACAACGTGTAGAACAATACTGTCAAATATTCAAACAAACTCCGGGCATATTTGAAAGGGTGAAAGAGTTCATTAAAGACCGGGCTTGTATCGAGGCATAAGAAAATCATTTTAAACATTTTCTTTAAAATCAGCAAAGTGATGACAAAAGATAAAAACACGTGTAACTTGTGAACGAAATAATTCCGAACATGTTTACATGAACTTTTTTTATTGTTTTTAGTCCTGCATCCGCCCCTGGAGTGCGTCCCACATGTTATGAAAGATCTTGTATAGAAATGTAGATGTTATAAGGAAATGTGAAAATGAAAGAAAATTATGGTTCAATACAAATCTTAATTGGTTAATATTTTTAATGCTATTTATCATGTTCACTGGGTCACAATGATCATTTGAGATATTGTATTGAGATAGATAAGTCACTACTATACAATGCGTTAATAATAAAACTTTTTCTCTAAATTTTCTCTATTAACATTTATAATTATTTTATTAATTAATATATAGATATTAATTTTGTATTCTATATAGATATTAAGTTAATTGTGTTCATTATTATTAAATTATCTATCTACTTATAGATAATTCAATTTGCTATATATTATTGAAGTATATCTATTATTTAATTGTCTTTATTATTGTTAAATTATTATATATCATAAAAATTATCAAAAAATAGTTTAAATTATATTGATTTTCAAATATATATTTCATAATTATTATGTTGGAATTATTGCATTTTGTTTCAGACATAAATTTATTAAATTTCATTATTTTAAATAATTCTTTTTCTTTCTAAAATCATTAAATAACACTATATTTATGTACTTGGAAAATTCTATTTTATTTGTGTAATTTGTAGAATGTTTTTAAAAGATAAGCAGGTATCGGAAAAACTTACCAATGAATAGCGACAACGTAATCATTAAAACGATGAAATATTTATTTTTCACTACCATGATTGTGTCATAAACGCTGATAAATGCTCCGTCCGAGTTCGTTTTAAAAAAAATGTATGTCTTTCATAATTCAAAACTAAATTCAATTATATAACGTTATATAACTATAAGTACGAATAAAACATGCGTTACTCGCACATAAAGTAAGGCCGCGTCTCTCTCTACGATATAACTGCCGCGAGGTCATCAGCTTACTTTCATCTCTACCCTCTCCAACTCATTTTACTTACACTTTAACATGTATCCAAGCTCTGGCAGAGATCAGTATAGTAAAGTTGAACAGATAGTATATTAAAAGGATGATGTCATTTCTTGATCATGAATCTGATTCTGTTAATTCTCGAAAGAGATTTTGTCTCGTAAATTACGATAAAAAATACATGGATAGATAGATACGAATAAAAAACATGCCGATAATTAATTAATTATCTGTAACTTTTAATGTGCAAAATGTGTATATATTTCTATAATATATGTTTTATTTTATTCTATGTTTAAAATATTTCTTGAGTCTAGTATTTTCATTATAAAAATATGCATGATAAACACAAGATTACTGTAGCACAAGAGTTTCGGCGCCTCCTCTTCGTACAACTATGCCATCACTCTGTTTGCTTTCTTCTGCACATCGAATTTTGCATAAAAAAATTCTGAAACATGCAAATATTTTTATTAAGTATTTCAATTATTAAGAAGTTTCAATAAAATTACAGAAAGAGGGACCCATTTCCGATGATATTGACTTTGATGTATATTGTCAAGGTGATGAACTTGAGTAATTTTTTATTTATTTTAATAAACGTGCGTTTATTAACTTTTGAACAATGGATGGTATGATAGCCGTGCACAAAACAGAAACTAGGTCAATTTTGACCCATAGTAAAATTTCTTTTGTTCAGGATTGGGTAATAACTAGTTATAAGGTTAAAAGTTAGGTTAAAAAGTTGAAAAGTTAATAACTTTTAACTTAACTTAGTTAATTTTAAACTTGTTAACTTTTAACTTAAATTAGTTACTTTTAAATGCATTAACATGAACTTATTAACTTTTTTACACAAGTTAAAATTTTGTATCTTTGATAGTCGAAAATTATCTATTTATTAATAATTATAATAACATAAGACAGTATCCAGTACCATTAAAATATGCGGTCATAAAATATAACACAACGGTACTATCCTCGGCGCACATAGAGCGTATGTTTAGTGCAGATGATTTAGTATATGATGACTTAAGAGGAAAAATGACGGACCATAATTTTGAGATGACACTTTTACTCAAACTATCTTTTAAAACTATAAAACACCTTATAAAACTATCTTTTAGGTAATATATATTACCTAAATTCAAAAAATTTAATTTAAAATGTACAATTAAAAGATTAATTATGCAAAAAACATATAGTTCTGCATAATTAACTTTTAACTTTTTAATAAGTTAATAATATTTTAACTTAACTTTAACTGACTTAATTTTTGTTTAAGTAACTTTTAACGTAAACTTAATTAATTGTTGGGTCATTAACTTTAAACTTAACTTAGTTAAAAAAAAATTAACTTACCCAACCCTGCTGTATCCATAAAACTAGCATCATTTAATTCGCTTTTTTTCTTAATGCCTACAGAAGTTATACTGTTTATTTCAGTCGAGTCACTAAAAGATTGTTCCCTAACCCTATTCCATTCTCTCTTTGGAAATCTCTTTTATCGATACATTTTTTATTTGTAATCTCACTATCATCACTATTTCCCTCACTATTCTTCCTCACCTTATTTTTTTTTTCTTCTACATTATTAATCGTTTTAACGCATGGTCTTTTACCCTTAATTTTTCTAACTATTTGTGTATTACCTATCTTATATTCGTTATTTAATAATTCTTTATATATTTTCATTATCGCAAAATTTGTCCAAACTTTCCTTATCTACTATAACTCTGTTCGTTTATTTCTAAACACGTGCCTATCTGACTCGGATTTACTCTTTCTTTCTCATCATTTCTGTAACTATATTCTCGCTCTCTCCTACCTTTGCTGTTTTGACCCCCTTCTCCCATCTAGGGTGACCAACTTTTGATTAACCAATTTCGGGATATCGACCTTAAAAAATCGGGAGACAATAAAAAAAATCGGGACTTTTTTATTGGTATAATTTTGATTATGAAACATAATGTGGTTATATATATAATATTGCAATTTTATTGAGTTTTCTTTTTATAATACCGGCTAATACTATAAAAAGAATCAGCCTTCGACTATGGAGGTTCATTTTCTATTTAGTTTATTTTAGATTGATTAATTTAATGGTTGACTCCTATCTCGACTCTTATCTTTGGTTTGTATTTACTATTCATACTCAATTTCATACAATCAACGAAACATAGCCTTCTATTATTTTTTAATATAATCATTAGTTTAAAACTTAATTGATAAAATTCTTAAAATAAAATTAAAAACAATCTATTATTATGTTTTATATTATTTATTTTATGTTATGTGAAAATAGGGATAATAACGTCCCGTTTGAGGTTCTTTTGGGACGCTTTTAATGAGAGCCGAAAATCGGGATGTTCCGGAAAATTCGGGACGGTTGGTCACCTTACCCCCACCAGTACCTCTTGTAGAAGCCGAAATAGAAGATTTCGGCTCCTTTATAACTGAATGATAGACTCTCCTCCAATGTATGGCTGATTATATTATCATAATTCCACCTTGAATCAGTCAAACCTTCAGAAAATCAAATACTTATGTCCAAAATTAATCAAAATATGTAACGCGTAATTCTCGTTGTTATCTCTATGGAGTCCTCTTTTGTTCTTTCAATTAATGCATAATTAATATCTTTAGGTTAACTTACAAATGGCTACGCAATGAGTTTATGTTAAAGTAGTAAAATAAATCTTGTTAAAATTCTCTCAAAAATATCATAAAAATAACAACATTGTATACACATTTTTATTAATTGGCTTCATAAAGAATAATGAAATGATAAAATCATCGAAGCATTTCTATAGTGTTCACAAATATTTTGCAGATCTGGCTCTGCGGATCTGGCTACTCGCAACTTTTGGTTCTGGAAATGTGTGAATGTTAATATATATTTTATATATAAATGTAATTAATGCGTAATTAATATTTTTACGTCATTTACAAATGGCTAAACAATGAGTTGCATGTTTATGTTAATATAGCAAAACAAATCTTGTTGACTTTTATCAAAAATATTACATATACAGTTGAATTGAAAGTGTCAGAGTTAGATCCTGAAATAGAAATGTTAAGCATCAGTCAAAGAAAAGAAATAAGGTAATAATTTTGTTTATAAATTATATAATAAAAGTTATTTATTTTCTTGGACTAAATACTTTAAGGACAAGATTTAGTCTATTTAAATTTTTTTGACATAATAGTTGAACTTATTTTTTTAAAGCAATTTTTTAAAGAAACTTGAATGTGGAAATTGATGATTTATTCGGATGGAGCTGCCTTTTGCAATATAATATTATCGGAGAGCATTAAAATATGTCATCGACAAAAAGTAGTTCAAATTTGAATCAAAATGAGGAGGAAGAGTCGGTCAGTGATGCTAAATTGCAGATGTTATTAGAAAATAGTATAAAAGTTTATAATAATTTGGCAACTGCATTGATTAAAACACAAACTTATGATGCAGCTTTAGAAAATGTGAAACATGTTTTGAAGTGTCAACGACAAAATGTAAAAGCACTATTCAGGATAGGTATTGCAAAAAACCTATTCTTCTTTTACTATATTTAATCTATTATTTTAAATAAGTTGTATACATTCTTGATTTATATTTTACATATGCAAAATTCAAATCACCTAAAAAAACCTCACAAAGGTAAAAAAAAATACGCCAAGTATATAAAAAAATCTCTAAAAAATAAAAACCTTTAAAAAATCAAACATCAAAACTATAAATATGAAATCAAGTTAACTAGCCAAGTACATAGAAGCAGTTCAGTTTGTAAGAGTTTGTAATTTAAAATAGTATTTGTTTGATAAAATCAATCTTGCATTTATAGAAATATTATAGATTCTCTCAAGAAAATTAAAATGCATTTTATTTTTATAAAATTACGCTATTATGCCCCCCCCCTCAAATAAATATTATATATACTATACAAAATAGCACAATTATATTGCGGATTTTATTACAAATAGTACATAAAACTACTTAACCCTTACTGCAATAACTTCGATCACATCGATCACCAATTTCGAGTTTAAAAGTGCCCCGTGCCAAACTGATCGACTTGTTTTGCAATTAATCATAATCTTTACTAGATAGACCTGAAACGAAAAGGATTAAAATTAAAGTGACATACAAATACTTGGCGTGCCCGTGTCGCATTATAAGTCATATATGATATTTTTGTTAATATATTGATAATGATTTCTGATAATCCTTTGGAAATTTTTAATTCAGGTCGGGCATGCCAAGTATTTGTATGTCATTTTAATTTTAATCCTTTTCGTTCCAGGTGACAACATATGTCAAGGTCAAGGTCATTGGGGCTGGGTCCCCTATTCGCTATATTTACCATATTCTCATATATATTTTTTGTTATTTCTATATTCAATCTAAGAAGTTGGGTTATGTCTTCAAAAAATGTAAAGGGCGTTTTTTAATTCATCGATTGATCAATCGCATGATGCATAAATGTAGCAAATACAGGACTTTGCTGTACTTGCGCATCATGCGAGTTAAACTTCAGTACTTTATGAATTTCTTTTAATAACATATTGCTCACTGAGTTGTTACGTCCCTGCATGCGGTCTGAAACGAGATTATAGAGGAGGGTCGTCTCCAAGAGCGTTGTCATGGAATGTTGATAAATAACGGTAGCCATGTTAAACTTTGTGTAGCTGTCTTGTAATACGGCCGTGTTTGAGACAGCTCCGTCTCAAAATGTTGCGTCCGCTGGTTCGAGATTAATCGAAGCTCGCTATGCAACTGCTTTACACTCGCACACCGCGTCGCTTCCGCAACCGAAAAGGTCCCGTCTCCGATTTTGATGAAACTTTGTGAAAAGCTTCTTTTCAGGTTCAAATGAAAGATCCTGAAAGGAATTTTGGCGACTCCTACAAGAAAGTCATTTTTTAAGAGAAAATGGGGGTGTAGTTCCGAATGGACTCTAAATCTTATATCTATCCTCCCATCTAAGCATGTACTTTGCAG